TTTAATTTTAAGTTCCTACATGGGAAGGGGTTGAACTGGATGGTCCTTGTGGTCTCTTCCAACTCTATGATTCTATACGATTCTAAGTCAGGTTATACACACACACACACACACACACACACACACACACACACATATCCTTTTCTCACCAGAGATATAGAAAAATGAGTGCACAAGACTCAAGGGAGCTGACAAGGGAGCTGACACAGGTACCCCCTGCGCCAAATCCCTTACTTAACCTGACGACAGCCTGATGTGATGCATTTAACAACTTCTTTGCAGATAAAATCTCTCAGATAAGAGCCAATGTAGACGCCAGGTTTTTAACAGAAATTAAAGATGAGGTGTCCAGTGACTCCGCCAGTGTAATTATACTGGATCAGCTGCAATCTGTGAATACTGATGACGCGGACAAGCTCCTTGGTAGTGTGAGGAAAATAACTTGCCCTCTCGACCCTTGCCCATCATGGCTGGCCATCGAGGGGGGAGATGCATTGAGAAGGTTCTTATGGACATCATCAATGTGTCCTTCAGTGAAGGACATATTCCATCATGTTTGAAGGAGACGGCTGTTAGGCCGCTCTAAAAAAAACTTCCCTGGACCCCCTGAATATGAATAACTATAGGCCAGTTTCTTTATTACCATTCTTGAGCAAGGTGATTGAGAGGGCAGTTGCTCTTCAACTCTAAGCTGTCTTGGATGAAACCGATTATCTAGACCCATTTCAAACTGGCTTTAGAACAAGCTTTGGGATTGAGACTGCCATGGTTGCCTTGATCAACTATCTGCGTTTGAGCATCGATAGAGGTAGTTTGACCCTGTTGTTGCTCCTAGACCTCTCAGCAGCTTTTGATACGATAGATCATGGCATCCTCTTGGACCACCTGAGGGGTTTGGGCATGGAGGCACTGCATTGCAGTGGTTCTGGTCCTTGCTCTCGGGCAGGTCCCAGAGGGTGCTGCTCGGGGACAGCTGGTCAGCTAAAAGAGAGCTCACCTGTGGTGTTCCACAAGTGCCATCCTGTCCCCGATGTTATTTAACATCTATATGAAGCCGCTGGGTGAGATTATACAGAGTTATGGAGCTGGGTGTGATCAGTATGCTGATGACACCCAGATCTATTTCTCCGTGTCTCGTTCATCGGCCTCAAATTCTGATGGTGTCTCCTCTCTCAATGAATGTCTTCAGGCAATAATGGGCTGGAATAGGAAAAACAGATTGAAGCTGAATCTGGACAAGATGGAGGTGCTCATGATATTAGCCCTGAAACAAAGAATTGGGCTGCAACCTCCAATCCTAAATGGAGTCACACTCCAGTGACTGTGCTTGCAGTCTGGGGGTGCTCCTTGACTTGTCGCTCCTGATGACAAATCAGGTGAATGCAACAGTCAGGAGTGCCTGTTATCATCTTCGGCTGATACACCAACTGCACCCTTTTCTGGAAGTAAGAGATCTCGAGACTGTTGTGCACACACTGGTAACCTCATGTCTAGATTTATGCAACGCGCTCTACATGGGGCTACCCTCATGCTTGGTTCAGAAACTGCAGCTAGTACAGAATATGGCAGCCAGAATAGTGTCAGGAACATCTAGGAAGGACCATATTACTCTAGTACTAAGGTCCCTCCACTGGCTGCCTATTTAGTTTCCGGGCCCAGTACAAGGTGTTGGTTATTACCTATAAAGCCCTAAATTGCTTGGGTCCAAACTATCTCTGGGACTGCCTTCTCCCTTACAATCCTCCCCATGCACCCCGGTCCTCTGGGAGGAATTTGCTACATCCACAAAGATCTCGGCCTCGCAGAGGGCTTTTTTTTGTTGTCGTCCCCAGATTATGGAATGGCCTGCCGGACGAGATCTACCAATTAACATCTTTAGACAGCTTTTAAAAAGCTGTCAAGATGGATCTCTTCCGGCAGGCCTTTCCAGGATAGATTACCCCAGCCTCGGAAACTTTTTTTGGGAGAGTTTGTCTAGAGTCTTCCTTAATGTGGTATAATGCCGCCATTTCCCTTTCTTTTCTATTTTTCATTATTATTATTATTATTATTATTATTATTATTATTATCACAGCTAATCTCTGCATTTCTAATTTGCTTGGCTTTTAACTTTTATTTGATTTAATACTTTTTTAAAGGGGGGAGGGTAGGGACAGGATTGGGATATATTGTATTTTAACTTTGTTAGCTGCCCCGATTGATTTCAGAGGGCACTGCTTGGAAGGATAGTGTGATGAGACACTGCTTTGGAACCTAGGGCAGCAGCCACTTTCTAGATATGAAGGAACTCTACTATTCCAGGTGATGTTGCTAGAAGCAGAGGGCTTGCAGTTTTCTACTCCAAAGCAAGCCTGTGCCACTTCCATCCATAGCTGTTCTGCAACCCTCAATCTTTCTCTTCCTTAACATATACACAACTGGGCAATTTTTAAAAGAAAGAACTGGTTGTTAATTATTTTTAGTGACACTATCTGAAAGATCATATTTCTTTTTATCAGGGTCCCCAAGCTATGGCCCGCAGGCCGGCCCTGGCCCACTGAGGCCTTCCTACTGGCCCATGTGTTGCCCTGCTGCTGCCACCACTGCCACTCCCACTGCCACTCCCGCCGCCGCCACCACTCATGCTGCTCCTGCCGGACACCGGATGCCATTTTGGCTTGCACACTACTCAGGCGCCAGAGACCCCTGTTTTATATGATCTTCCTGATCTCTAAAATATTTGGGGGAGAGCTTTCTTTCTGTCTCAGCACAGGTATGGCTGGTGAGGGCATGGGAGAGAGCCTTCTTGGTGGCTGCTCCCACACTGTGGAAGACTCTCTCATGGGAGACTTGTTTGGCCCTCTCTTTGATCTCTTTTCCCTGGTAGGCAAAGGCCTTCTTATTTAAAAAAGATTTTAGCTGGATATGATAGAAGGATCTTGTAATGGTGTAGGCTATACTTATATAAGTTTTATATTTTAAATTGTTTAAAATATTTTATTGTGATTGTCTAATGGTTTTTAAACTTTTGATCCACATATGGTTTTAATTGTATTTTTACATTGTAAGCTGCCTTTGGTTTCATGTTGGGGGAAAGACAGGATTAGAAGAAAATAAAATATTTTAAAAATTAAGTTACTTTACACTTGCTTACATATAATTTCACTTATCCTTTTAAAAGTTTAAAACCCCAGTTTGGAGAGTTCCCTCTAGTTTAGAGCTTTTCATCCTCCCCTGTACATTTTTATAGCCCTAAATAATTTATTGTCATAAGCAAATTTGGACACATCACTGCTTATTTTTAGTTCCAGATCATTTATGAACAAATTAAGAAGCAATGGTCCAAACAAAAATCATTGTGGGATTTTACTTTTGATTCTGTGTACCGTATTTTCTGGCGTATAAGATGACCGGGCGTATAAGACGACCCC